GCATTCATCATGCCCAGAATGTTTGTAGAAGGCCCATCTTCTGCTGGCTGAAGACATGATTCAGATGAGATTAGAGGACTCCCACAAACCCAATTTGGTACAAATTCATATCCCTCCCACCCTGATCTCCTCCTAAAATATCAGAAGTTAGAGGAAACAGGTAATGGCTATGGACCGTAAGTTCATTCTAGCCCCAGTGCCATTGTGCATCTCTCCCTCCCTTCAGGCACAAATCTCAGGGGTCAGATGAATATATTCCACAGGTAAATTCTCCTGAATTTACTCCCTCAGCATCTTGTCTTTTGAGCCCACTTAGTACAAAACCTGCTTATGGAGTGTCAAGGTACCAGCTAGAGATCAATGAGACAGTCTCGATCACATTGTGGAGCTAAGTGGTCTGTCCTTTCCTGCTAAGAAATAAACCAAGGTGGTTTCCATCCCTTTCCTCCCAATGGCAAGATGACTGTTCTGGAGAAGGGACTTCCATATGTCCTGCCTGGGTGATTCCTGTTTGGGCAAGCTGAACTGATGCCAGCACCACCTGATAAAACACTTATACTGGTGCAAAAAAGCCCAAAACAACATCCTAGTAATGGCCACCTTGCACATACTACCTGTCCCCTATATCTGCCTGCCATAGTAGGAGAATGGCCTCCTAACCAGCCAAACTCTATTCCTCAAGTCTGGCCTTCCACTATAACCATTCAACCATTCATTCAAGGATGTATTTCCCCCAAGATACACTTGCAAATCTCCTAACCTGCTTTTAAACAACACGATCCTCTGAAGTCCATGTGGATGGGCCCCAGGCGCCATATTGACTTTTACCATGAGAGTCATCATGACGAGAGACTTGATCCTTCATTGTCACTTAAGTCCCCAGTCCTCATTTATTGGACCTCTGTCTGAGGGGGCTTCCCAACTCTTTCCTGGCTGACTCTCTTTCCCATTGACTTAACCATGGAGTTGCTCCTGCTAAGCCCTGCGCAGGATTAATCCCCGTTGGCTAAATCTACTTCCCACTAGCCTGACAAAGATAATGCAGGGTTCCATGTAGGAGAGACCATGAAGATAAATTGGATAACCTCTCCCCCAGGTGGCTGAGATCTCCTCCTGGCTGCCAACAGTCTGGGCTCTAGACTAGCCTAAGTCCTTGGTCTTGAGTCCAGCAGTCCTCTTCTCCTCCCATCAATCTCTCAAATCGGCCACCATGTCTATGACTCCTGCCAGACCTCTGAAGACCAAATGTCCTGCTTGGCAATTTTGGGGTTCCTTCCTCAGACCTCAAGATACATCTAGCCCACGATAGCCTCCTCCCAGATCAAAATAGCCGTTGGCTGATTAAATTTGACCTGCAAGCTACCAGTGCCTTCTTGACTCTTTCCCAACACAGTCTTTGATTGTGCCAGGTGCCTCAGGTGTAGAAGAACTCAGAAACTCCTACTTTGAAATGCTAATAACTCTCCAGCAGGGGGTCTCCCTTCCTCCATAAAAAAGAATGGAATCACAGACTGTTAGAAAGGACCTCAACAATCCTGAGAAAGAAGCCTAGCCCCAACAGACTTCACAAGCGGTCACTCAGCCATGGCTTAACGACCTCCAGGGAGGGCGAACTGATATTCTCTCAAGCTAGCCCATTCCCCCGGGAGTCAGCTCCAGCCTCAGTTGACCTTTTCACCACTTTCACCATTGACCCTGTTTCTGCCGTCTGGGGCTAAACAGAACAACTATACATATACGTACACACGTACATATATACATATATGTATTCAAACAGAAATATATACACCACTACCATTCTCTTAGATGTCCCCTGAGCCATAAATGCTTATAAATCATGGAGTTGCTCCTACTAATCCCTGTGCAACCTGAACTAGCCTTTCAACTTATAGAAGAAGAAGAGAGGGCTGATTTCATCCTGCCAAAATAGTTAGGACCACAAGGAAGTCAGCGGTCTGGAGCAGTGCTCCTTACCCATAATCCCTGGGGAGAAATGGAAAGAGAGCAGATGCCAAGGCTGATGGATCGATTGAGTCCTGGGTTCCTGAGCTGTCACAAGCCCAAAGACAATTGGGTCTCCATACTAAGTCTGGCGAGTCCCTGAGTGTAGAGGGCTACCAGGCTGACTAAGGAGGGGTGAAACAGCCCAAGTCAGATAAGGCCAGATCATGTTAAAGCTTCCTTGCCAGTCAGCACTGGCATCTAACCTGTGTATGCCATTGAGCTTCAGGCCTAGGCAAGATAGGGAGACCAAGACAGAAGAAAAAAAGGGGAAACTGGGGCAATTATCTGTGGCCCAGAAATCCAGCTCCTAGTGCCAATAACCCTGACAAGGACACCAGTCTCTGCTTCTTAGGTTGACTCCAGCCAATCTATACAAGTGGAGAGAGTTCAAAATAGTGAACCAGTGTTTCTAAATTGGCTCTCATGCCGCAGAGTTGGCTGCTATGTCAGGAAGAAGTGAAAGAGCCAGACAAGGCCTCTGTGGGACTCTGGGGAGCCCGGTGTCCTGGGTGGCTTTCTCTCTCTGCCTGTGGGTTCCCCCTCTGTCACATTGGGTCGCTGTAGCAATGGTCTGTGCTATATACAATGCACATCAAAGGTCTTGGGCAAGGATGACACTGTGTCCCAGTGACTGTTAAGATACTTGCATCACTGATAATACTTTCCAAGCCCTTTCCTATGTCATCATAGGCCATGGGTGTCTACAATCACGGTTTATAGAATCCTAATAGGGTAATTCTTCCATCCCTTCTTCTGGGATTTGTTATTCCAGTGGGATGATATTGCACAATCAGACACACAGTTAATTCTTGACTCTCAGGTTTAGGTCATCACAGACCATCCTCAGAAGTTAACACATCCTTATCAGTGTGACAGAATGGTTAAAGACGGATAAGATCGCTGGGCATCAAGACACAGCCACGAGTTCTTTGATAAGGCTCCCCAAGTGGTCTAGAGAGCACACCTAATATCTTGGTGGATCAGCCTGTCCTTTCCTCCCGGCCCATCATCTCATTGCACCCACAAAATCCTGTCTGGCAATATCACAGCCACACCAGCAGTGTTTGCATTACTACAACCCCGAAATACCCAAGGAAATACTGCCTGGGTAGAGCTGCTAGTGTAATTACCCAAGCTCCCTGAGTGAGGTGCTAGCAATTGTTTCTAAAGCAGCTGCGATTTCTAAAGCAGGGGAAAGGTTTAGAAGGTGGTGAAACTGGAGGAGGCAGAGCTGCTGCCCCTGGAAATGGTGGGAAGCGGGAGCCCAGGCTAGAAGAGGCTCCCTGCTGCATCTCCCAGACAGGGGGACTGATGGGCACACCCCTGTCCCCAGAGGAAGAGAATTCTCTCCTCCCAATCCCAACCTATTCAGGTCTGTCCTCCAAGTACGATTCCCAGCACGCTCTCCATTCCCCCATCCACACACCCCTTTCTGCCTGCATGCTCCCCTCAGTTTCCTGGTCACAGCCCTTGTCCCTCTCCTTCCCATGTCATGGACTACCAGACAAGAAGTGTGCTGCCCAGGATCAGAGTACGTGTGGGGAGAAGGCATCGGCAGATGCCTCAAGAGGCAGCAGCACCTAGGTGGTGCAATGGATAGAACGCTGGACCTGCAATCAGGAAGACCTGAGTTCAAATCCAGCTCAGACACTGACTAGCTGTGTGACCCTGAGCAATTCATTAAGCTGCTATCTGCCTCCATTTCTCCAACTACAAAAAATGGGAATAATAAAATCTCTATCTCCCAGGGTTGTTGTGAGGATCAAATAAGGATAATATCTATAAAGCACTTAGCACAGTGCCTGGCACATAGTAGGTACTTAACAAATACTTGTTCCCATCTGCATACTGAAAGAGGGAGTCCTGGACACATCGAGTCCATGTTATCATGTCAATGCCCATGATGTCATTGCATTGACACTATGGTATCAGCACTGGGGTACTCATGAACATTGCAGTGATGGCATCAAGACATACAACTGGGAGGGGCAGCTAGATGGCACAGTGGATAGACCACTGGCCCTGAAGTCAGGAGGACCTGAGTTCAAATCTGGCCTCAGACCAAATACTTGATACTTACTAGCTGTGTGACCCTGGGCAAGTCACTTAACCCCAATTGCCAAAAGAAAAAAGAAAAAAAAAGACATAGCTACTGGGGTGTGGGTTTTGGAAGATCTGCACACAAACCCAGATCGTGTCTCATGGATGCATCTATAGTCCTACACCTGCATCAGAATAGATGTAGCAGACAAAGGAGGGAAGATGCCCAGTATGCTGCCCATGGCACCACTACCCAAGAGCATCCCCAGACCATTTCTGGCTTCCCATGATTTGGTGATATATCCCCAGAAATGTGTGTGCAACAGAGTACAGAGGGGGCTGGGTTAGCGTACCAAGTCATGGCATGGTTGATGCAATAAGACAAGAAAAAAGGGGGTTGTGCCAAGCATGCCACCACCCCAAAAGAGCACCTTCTCAGGCAAAGAAGTTACTTAAGACAAAATATGATCTCCCAGATGCTTGCTGCTTCTCTCTGTAACCTGTTATCCCTGACTCTGTGCTAGCTTCCCCAGCTTCATAGTTAAGACAAAATATCATCTCCCAGATGCTTGCTGCTTCTCTCTGTAACCTGTTATCCCTGACTCTGTGCTAGCTTCCCCAGCTTCATAGACCATTGCTTTGATTCTGGTTTCTGCCCCCTGACATCTCCGCTGCATTTGATAGTCCTGCTGGATTATAACACAGCCTCTGGTCCTCTCCCTCCTCCCCTTTCTTCCTCTACTTCTCTCTCCCCCAGCAAATGCCCGCCCCATTTCTCCTCCTCCCCCCAGAGGAAGGGACTCAGACTTCCCCTGCCATTGGGACACATTGAGGGTGTAACTCATGGGCCCTCTCAAATCCTCTCCATCTTAAAGAAACCTCAGTAGAAAGCCTCACCAGCCCACACCTTCCAATCCCTAGTGACAGCCCAGCACCATACCCTTTCACCATCTTACGTAAGCTTGCTATCCTTTCTTCCATTGGAACCTGGGAGCAGCTCGACACTCCAAAGCGGGTGACCCTGGGGTCATAGTAATGGCAAGGCCCAGGACTGCATGTGTCAGTAATCCCTGTGGAGGGGATGGAAGAACAATATATGTGTCAGACCCAAGGCCAAGCTCTCTGACCAAAGCCAAGGGTTGGGGCCCATAGCAGTAACTTCCTCTGACACTACGGTATCAGCACTGGGACATCCACTAGCATGGCAATGATGGCATCAATACATAGACTGGACAGAGCCATGGACCGCACCCCCCTGCCCCACAGCAGCGTTTCCCTCCTCAAGTGTCTTTAGATCTGTGGGTCTTTAGGGCTGGCGCTCAGGAGGCATGTGGGGGTCACAATAAAACCTTCCAGGCCATATCTGACCAAGGCTGCTCCAAGAACCGGTGCCCTTTCTTAGAAGGATTAGCCACCACAAGGAGTCACTGATCTTGGTTTGAGTTCTTCCACAGTACTGTGTCTTCCTAAACATAGATGGTAGGACCAAAAGGCCTCTGGGAATACACCACTAAGAAACTTTGTAAACTGAGTTAGATTAGCAGAGACCTAATTTGAAAGAAAATAGACAGTGATTCATAGAAATACATCTGTAGGCAAATATAGTTCAACAAATCATGATCCTAAGTGAGGCTTCATTTACAGGACCCCAGCCTTGTTTTAATCTCTCTACAGGAGACAGAGTTAGTCAGTGACCTCCTCAAAGACACAGTGACATGTTGAGATAACAGTGGGATCAGGCACCACCATGACTCATTCAGCTCAGAGGTCCTACCGTGAAATCTACTAAAGGTGAGGTCCATTACTATGTCTCAGGGTACTGTAAAAGGCTGCAGGCTGGGCTTGGGGACTGGGGGAAAAGCATTTGGAAAGCCTGGTCCATAAGGATGAGGTGGCAAGTTTAATCCCACCACCCTCTGGATAGATTTAAATGATAAGACCTTTCTAGTATGAAGAAAACTAGGCTGAGAGCATCCTAAAATCATACATTTAGAGCTGAAAGAGTTCCTTAGACGTCATCTAATCTAACCCTTTCATTTTAAGATAAGGAAATTAAGGCAGAGAAAGGTCAAGTGACTCGTCCACAACTGCGTGGATGGGAAGTACCAGTCAGAAAGAACCCGGGTCCTTTGACTTCAACTCTTTCCAGTGGACCATACTGCCTCCCATTTCCTGGGCATTAGTTCGTATTTTCGGGATCAGGATTACTGAAGGGCAATGTCTGCCCCAACAAATGCCCTAAAACCCAACTTCCATACCCACACCCTACAGAAGTGTTTTCTTAGACATTGCTCTGCTTATTCTCTTCTCAGACAATAGGGCTTGCCCAAGTCTGGGAAGAGAAAGTAGCTTCAGCTTGTCCTTGGCAGTGTGCCCTCCCCACCCCCTCTCCCCTTGCTCCCATTCTCCAACTCTACTTCTTCCCCAGAATCTCACGCTTCTCCGAGTGGCCCTTGTGGAAAGAGTAGGCTGGTGCTCTGTGCTTGGAGATATCATGGCCTAGGTAGCCAGTGCAGGATGGGCGTAGGTACCTCCCGGGCCCAGGACCTAGCAGGGAGAGAGAAGGCAAAGAGAAAAACCAATCCACCAGAATCTGGTATACCCCTGTCTTCCTAGGGACGATGAACAAGGCCATTCTTGCCAATCACTGGTGAAGCAACCAGCTCTCAGTGCTGTATGATATAAAGGAACCAAGAAGACAACCCCATCCTCCCACTTCCCACCCTTTCCATCAATATTTCCCCCATCACCGTGCCTGAAATTTTACCATTAGAGTTTCATTCCTTTGTGTTATGATCTTGTCCCCTATAATAATATAATCCCCAAGTCCGTGGAACCTTCTTTTAGAGGGGGATGGAGGTCTCCACTCCCTTTTTTTGGGGGGGGGCTAGGCAATGGGGTTAAGTGACTTGCCCAGAGTCACACAGCTAGTGAGTGTTATGTGCCTGAGGCCAGATTTGAACTCAGGTCCTCCTGACTCCAAGGCTGGTGCTCTATCCACTGTGCCACCTAGCTACCCCTTCCACTCACTCTTTAACAGGGCCATAAGGACTGGGGTCTGCATAATTTCATGCCTCGAGGGTCCTGGTGAGAAACTCTCCTTCGGGTGCTCAGCATAAAAGATGATTTTCTTCATTTTTTTCAGTTTTTTGGTCCCCATGGTGAGGGTCCTGGGATGCAGGTAGGAGGAACAAGTCAACAAGAACTAAAGCTGGGAGTCAGGCCCTAAACCAACAAACAAAGAGCTGGATTTCTCAGTGGTATGTAGGGGAACAGTGTTTCCCACACACACCTCCCAAAGCTCCCTATCTCTTTCTATTTCACAACCCCTCAAAATTCTGCCTCTGTCAGAGACACTCCTCTAGCCCATTCAGCAGGGCCTGGGAGGAGCCCAAGCCCCTCTCACCACCACCTTCTCCAATTTAAGCCATCTAGAAAATAAGATGGCAGTTGGAGTTCAGTGAAGGTCTTAGGGGGATGACATCAGATCGGAATTTGGAATCTGGAGGTGTGTTTATTTCTCCGTTGCCATAGAGCCCAGACAATGTCCTGAAGGTTCCAGTGCAGACCCCATCTGCAGAACCCTTTGAATTCAGCCTCCTCCCTTTACCCACCAATGCCTCCCAGGATAAGTGAATAGGGGATAGGGAGAGGACAATGGAGAGGGTGTGGGGTGGGAGGGCAAGGAGGTACCCAGGAGTTAGAAGGGAGATTGGCCATGTTACCAGAAAACTAGGTCATGTAGTTCTTATAAGGTTGGGAAAAGAGTTTGACAGGCAGACAAGTGGAATTATAGAATATTAGCCTGGTTAAAAGACCCTAGAGATATCCCAGGGATTCATTTCTTTGTTTATAAAGTAAAGAGGGTGGAATGGGTGACATTTAAGATCCTATCCAATTCCGACATATTTGACATTATGAATCTAGTCCAACCTTGCCATTTTGTTATTATTTAATTAACTAATGACCTTTTTCCTTTTTTCTTAGAGTGGTAAGTAAGATACGGTGGAGAGAGTGCTGGGCTTGGAGTCAGGGAGACCTGAATCCAAATACAGCCTCTAACATTGCCTAGTTGTATGACCCTGAGCAAATCCTTCTACGTGCCTCAGGCAGCTCTCTAGGATTTGTCTACTAGACCACAGAGGGGTTGTAATCTGCTACAATGAACTCCCACTCCCCATGGGTGAAATCAGAGGTCCTTTGTCTATTCTGATATTGTTTTTACAGGATACAGAAATGGAAGTGAATAGCCTAAGACTACACAGCAAGTTAGTTGAAAGGGGTGGTTTTGTGTAGTCATCAACTTGACCGCCCTTTTAGAGGTCAGACACCAGCCACTGGGGCATCCAACATTGTCAGCTCAGGGGTCTATTTCCATTCTACCATGTCCCCTTCCACCCTGCCCCCTCCTCAAACTCTCTATCCTCACCCAGGCTGCCCACTAGGAACACTGCTTTGGCCAAACAGTAGTATCGTAGACTCAGAAATAGTCAAGTTTCATATACTCAGTCTTCAGTAACAAAGAAGTAGTGGATAGAGCCCTGGGCCTGAAGTCAGGAAGACCTGAGTTCAAATCCTGCTTCAGACACTTACTAGTGGTGTGACCCTGGACAAATCACTTAAACTTCTGCTTAGGAGATGTGTAAAAGAACTATAAAAGAAAAAAAATGAGGTAATAGCCCCACTTCTTACCTATGAGACCTGGGGAAGTCATTTTCCCCTTTTGGGTTTCAATCTCCTCATCTATAAGATTAGGTGGAAGGGTACCTTCTAGTTCTAAATCTATGATTCTGCAATTGGCAGATGGGCACCAGGAGGAGGCATAAGACTGACACAGGTTTCCCTCACCTTTGTTTCTCTTAAGGAAGTCATTCTTCATGAGCACCCACCCCCTTTCCTTCCCATCAGCAGCAGTATTCATATAGTGCCTTATCTCATTTTTATCCTCACAATATTTGAGATGTTATTATTACACCCATTTTACAGATGAGAAAATTATGGTAGATGGCAGTTAAGTTACTGCAACTACTAAGTTACTACAACTAGTAAGTGCTGAGGCAAGATTTAACTCAGGTCTTTCTAAGTCCAATGTCATATCCACTGTACCACTTCCCTAGTTGCCTTTTCCATCAGGAAAGGAAGCACAAGACCTTAAACCAGAGACTCAACCCAGCCAGTCCAGGAGACTACAAGAGACTGAACTATGTGAATTTGCAAGAACCCCCTAAAATGGTAAAAACAAAAAACCCTAATTTCAGACTCCATGAAGAAAATGAGGAAGATGAACATGCTGCTGTGCTCTCCTCTGGTAGGTCCACCTCTGAAGGATCACCTTTAGTACTGGGCACATTCTAGGGCTGGGAAGCGTGTGACAAACTGGAGCACTGCCAAGGCTGGTGACTTGGATGGTGAAGGACCGGGAGACCAAGCCACATGAGGACCACCTGGAGCAATGAGAGCTGTTTAGCCTTCAGACTTTGGATGGACTCTCAGAACCAAAAGGAGTCATGGGATAAAGTCACCGAGAGGCAGTCTCAGTATAAGGAATATCTCCTTAATACATGGAGCTGTCTGACAATGGAAGAGGAAGCATGATGGGATTGTGAGCTCCCTGTCATTGGAAGAGGCCAAGCAGAACCTGGAGGTCTCTCGTTAAGAATCCTGTAAACCCGATTCCCAGGAAAGAGGTGAGCTGTTGGACTAGACGATGCCTGAGATCCATCCCTGATGAGGATTCTGTGACTTGGAGTCATCTTTACAGAATCACGAACCAAACCTTGCTTATTTTTGTTCTCATTAAAAAAATTACCAGATGAAGCCACTCGAGCCACTGCTAGACCAACAAATTTTCCTGATTTCTAAAATAACTTAATCACTCATTGACATGACCAATCTTGGCTCCAGAGAAGCGATGAATAAATTGTACTTCCCTTGATGAGGTGGGGGACCGTGAGTACAAAATGTTGCCTTTTCTAGCGGATGTGGTCACTGTAGGGTTTGGTTTTCCTTAACTGTTTTTCTTTGTTACAAGGAAAGGCTCTCTGGGTGGAGAGATGACTTGCCTGTAAACAACAAGTATAAAAACAAAAAGCATCAATAAAACTTTAATTAAAATGTTTAAAAAGAAAGGGAAAAAAATGACCAAACCAAGACCAAACTGAGATCAGGACCGAAGGAGCTCAGCACAGAGAAGCTGCCTCATTATCACTTAGAAAATGAACGAACTAAAATATTCCAGCCCAACATCTATTTTTCCTAGGACATCCACTTCCCTTCAGACCATCAATCCATTCCAGGCCCACTTCTGACAGTGCCCTCTGCCTTCCCAGGGAGATGAGAGGGAGCTTGGGTGGAGTCCCAGCTATAGCACAACATTGGTTGGTGCAAAGTCCTGGGCACAGAGCCTTCCCACTCCTCCTCGTCAGCTTTTCCAATCCACTCCTGAACAGAGGCAGCAACAACAGGGAGAGGGAGAGAGAGAGAGAGAGAGAGAGAGAGAGAGAGAGAGAGAGAGAGAAAGTCTGTGTGTCCCAGCCAATGTGGCCTCCTGCCATGTTTATAGGCCTCTGAGGTGCCAAAGGAGGGCTTGAGGAAAGGGAAATTGGGGAGGGGATGGAGGGTTGGGAACCCCCTCCCACCCCCATCTCTCCAGCTGGCCAGACTCCCTGGCCTCACTCCAGTCCTCGTCTCTGAAATGTTTCCACATGAGACCCCACCCTTGCCCTCTACCTCTCCTCCCCATCATCCCCAGAGATTGGTCTCATTTAGGAAACTGAGGCCTGGGGCTTCCTTCACACACACAATTCCACCACAGCCCTGAAGTCCAGAAAGAAATCTAGCTTTCAGCAAAACTATGGGCTCTGTCTCAGGGTCCCTGAGGAAATGGGAGGCCAGGTCTGGGTGTTAAAGAAGAAACAAAATTCAAATCTGCTTTTCTATCTGCTGCCCTCTCTAGTCACTCAGTAACCTCAATAATTTAATAATTACCTCCTCCAACATTTCTCAGAGTAGCCCTTCTGTCCACACTTTCCATCTCTCTTGCTGCTATCTGCCTCTCTATAGGGTGTGTATGCCTCCCTTCTCAGTTACAGACCAAAGCAATAAATGCATTTTCACAAGAGCTTAAAGCAATTTAAGAAAGGGTGAAAATATAAAAAATCAACAAGAGTTCTAGAAATACTAAGTTATAGAGTTTAAGGATGCTACCCTAGGAGCCCATCATCTACTCAGATATGCCTCAGAGAACATAGTGACTGAACTCATTCCTATTCCCCATTCAGCAATGCCAAGCCTAGCATCTACAGGAAGCCACCATCTTGGTCCCAGAGAATGGTGCAGCATCTGTCTAGGATGACCCAACGGAAACTGAGGGGGCATCTCTTGCCACCAACATCTGACTGCCATAACTCTGCCACACTAGCATAGCTCTACCCATTCTCCAAAGTAATGGCCTCTTTCCCAAGTCGAGGTTTTCAGTATAACATGCAATATACAGGTATAGTGGTAGTTTCTATAGTATATTTTATCTTTGTGGTGACTAGGGATCCCCTGAAAGTTTCTGAAGTGGGGAGTCAGAATTGTTAGCCACTGGAAAGTAACACGATCTGTTTGTGGTCTCAGTTCCCTTTTTGCTTCCTTTCAACCATGAGAGACACTTGCTGATGGCAGTGTGGATGATGGTAGCCACTAATTGCCATTGCTACTGTGACAAGAGATAGGAGCAATCTTGGTCTTAAGAGATGCTTCCTGGTCACCATGCTGGGTAGCAGTCAGACTAGCCTTTGGGATTAGGACTGTGTATAGTGGCAGCAACCATGTTCAATTGCTGCTGAAACATGGGACTTGGTCAGCTCCAGATAAAGAGGAGCCAGATACCCATACAATAAAAGCCATTCCCCAGTTGATAAATGGTCAAAGAATATGAACAATCAGTTTTTGGAAGAAGAAATCAAAGATATCCGTAGTCATACAAAAAAAATGCTCTAAATCACTACTGATTTGAGAAATGCGAATTAAAACAACTCTGAGGTACCACCTCACACCTATCAGATTGACTAACATGACAGAAAAGGACAAATACTGGAGGGGATGTAGAAAATTGGGACACTACTGCATTGTTGGTGGAGTTGTAAAGTAGTTCAACCACTTTGGAGAACAATT